GTCTGAGAGTTTCAGGCAAACGAGAGACGAAACGTTTCATTAGAGAAGAACCCGTCCAGAGGACCTATACAATTTTTTTCTTTTTGACAAATATGAAGACAAAATGTCAAAGATTATCAAGAGATATGTTTAGATTTGGGTTTGCTTATTTCTTTGTAAAGACTGTTTTCTATCTCATAGTTTTGGTTCCCCTTTACTTTGCAAAAGCATTTCAAGTTTCAAATGCATTTTCATGTATTTTTGCTGAGAATTATGTAATGAATCAAAAAATTCTACTGGAATGGGATGATTTTACTTTAGAATAAAATATGATAATAATGTGATGATAATAATAATGGCTTTAGTAGTATTGTCATCAGTGAATGTTCCAATACAATGACGAAATTTGTGTTCTGCATTTGACCCATCACATGTGAGAAACACCAAAGTGGAGAAGCGAGCAGCTAACTGAACTGAACTCATCAAATGCTCCGAAGCAGGTCGTATCTTCAGCCTCTATTACCAGGGTGGCTCAAAGAGAACCTCCACTGTGATTCCAAAACTTCTGATTGTCAATTCAACATAGCCTGAACAGAGGCCCCTGAACATTAGGACCGTAATTAACAATAAATGTGAACAACATTAAAGGGGCAATATCATGTAATATTAGCATTTTTTTAGCTTTGTATCATGTTGTAATGTTATCCTCTCATCAAAAACATGTCTTGCTTTGATTCATTCATGCAGGTTTGAGAAATCCTCCCTTTCCAAGTCTGTTGAAGATATCGACCTTCCAGAAAACCTTTCAACTGAACTTTCCTGTGATTTCTGAAGTCGGATGAGTTGAAATGTGCTCAACAAACGTGTTTATCTGTTACGAAATTAATACCGAATCTCCGTAAAATCCTCTCAGCTTGTCCGATCATTTGTGAGCGTGGCAGARAATGTATGCAAATGATTTGTGTGACGTCATGCATGAATGCCCCACTTGACTAGTGTCCAACTAGCCTGAATGAAGGTTCCCATTGAGAGTTTTTAGTTTGTTCCCACCACATCAAAATGTGTTTGGTCTAGACAACAAATCCCAAGTTTATTTTCAATCAGCACTTTGATGTGTGAATAAGTAAATGTGACTCATAGTTTAAAATGGCTTTAAAGTGTTTAGAAAACAATTTTTCATTTTCAGCCCATTCGTATTAAGACCAGAGAGGGTCAAAACGAACAGAGTTTTCTCTGAGCAGTATGTGACAGCCTTTGTGTTTAGCAGCCTACCTTGAACAGTAACAGTGAAGGAGTGTGTCACGTTTCCGTAGCTGTTGATGGCTCTACATCTGTATTCTCCATCATCATCTTCAGTGATGTGGTCAAAATGAAGCCAACGATTGTAATTCTGTAGCTTGGCTGCCAAATTACTGTGGTGACCATTAATCTTCTGCCATTCCACCCTGGGAGTAGGCCTGTAGAAACACAGATAAAGATCAGAAGACAAACAGAGAATGAGAAAGAGATTTGATAGGTAACAGGAAGGAGCAAAGCAGGAAATGACTGGTGACATCAACATGAATCAGTGGTGAATAACTGCAGATTATCATGTAATAGTCAATCCATAGTTTAACTAATCTTAATGTTGCTCCGTTCTTTAAATACTGGACACTTACGTAAAGGAAAAAGGATATTAGCAAATAAAATTACAAAAAGAGGATAAGAACGTGTAATGAAAATGGATTAGTAATAAACTCCTGACAAGAGTTTGCACATGAAACTTAAAAAATGCAACTGTCATCTGTCGTAGTACCTAAGATCTGATCACTTACAAAAGGATTTTGTGGTATAGCACTGCTGTGAAGCGTCCAAATTCCAGTTTTTCTCAAGCCATCTCCTGAGAGCCTTTGAAACTTGTTTGGACATTTAACTGCAATGACTGTGGGTTGGGCATTATCGTATCGTGTGCAATTAATCTTCAGAAAACATTAATCGATTATTTTTTGGCACTTGACGATTAATACGATTAATGCCACCAGGCGGACTGTCCGCTCGGTGCTCCTCTCCGCTTCAAATATGACGAACATTAAAAAAAGTTGTGTAATTTATTTGTCTATCAACACAATTTAAAATTTGATGTATAGCCTAATAGTCTGTAATTTTGACACAATTTTGAACATATTTTTATGAAGAGCACATCTTTCCCACTAAATTGGTCATGTGACCAGGACATAATGGTGTCCAGGGACTCCAGGGGATTAATCGTCAAATTAATCGTTATCAGCTAAATACCACAATTAATCGTGATTAATTTTTTTGCCAATATTGCCCAACCCTATTGCTACATAAAGGCATATGAGACACCTGGGAATTTTTGGGACAGTTGGCACACAAAAGCATGGGACATTTGGCATGCAGGGACACATGGGCTCAATTGGGACATTAAAGGAGCGGGGTTGCGMGTCCTCACGGAATATATGGGAACTATTGGGACATTTGAGGAGTGGGGTGCAGGTCCCCTGGGGAACTATGTGGACATTTTGTCCACTGGACATTTGGGAATTATGTTGCTCTACCTGGTGGTCATTTTGAGGTTCCAAATTTTCTATTGGGCTAACCGTGGGGGGCATGGGGACGGGCCCAGGGTCCACACAAAGCCCCCGGCCCGCAGAATGCCACAGCGCTGGTCCTTATTTTTACGAGCTTCAGTTCGGCCAGGGCTGAATTTGGAATTTCTGACATTTTGTGCTACAACTTTTTCAGGGGCCATGTGCCAAATGTCTGGTGCGACCCTAAGGGAGATTGGATAACATAATCTAGTGTGTTCAGAGTAAAAAATACAGAAATCAAAAACAGAAATCTGTTTCTCTGTTAGGTCCAGAGAAATCTGTGTCAAATCTCTGGGTGAACATGTTTTTATGTTTTTGCTGTAGATGCGTTAAGGCCAAGATCACTATCAGCCCTTCATAGTACCAACAAGAATTTACAACTACTTTCACCCTTTCATGTTTTACTGTTGTCTCTGAGCCGTACTATGCCTGCTGCATAGGACGATTTCAACTAAATGATGTCCAGATTTATCAAATTCCTCTGCATCACAGCTGAAACACTGTGATGATGTGCAGTGACTTGTTTCTTCACATCAACTTTTACTAGGGTGGGCTTATCAATCTAAGTATTGATAGTATCAATACCAAGCTGATCATCTTTATTGGATCAATACTGACATGGTGACATTAATACATTGGTTTACATTTTATTTGGACTATTTATTTCATTTTTTATGAAGTAAGTGAAAAAGTCAGAGTCTCCAAATCGACTGGAGTTATGCTGCGTTCACACCGAACGCGATTTCAGCTTCAAAATCGCAGCCAACGRTGGACGTTGGTCGCTTGTGCACTTTGAGGTCAAACGCAGGTCAGCTCTTGAAGCGCTGCACGGCAACAGCCTCCCCGCCCCTCCCTCCTCTGTCGGGCTCTGTTTAACGTCGGACGAGGAAGTGGCTTTGCTTTATTTACAGAGAGCAAGAGCATGTCACGTTCATCAGATAATTAATTCATAATTAATTCACCAGATAATTCAGAGACATTCTGAGTTTCATCACCCAGGAGCTGCYGGAGAGGCTCACAGCTCGCTTTCAGGACTATTTTTGTCCCGAGTCCAGTCTGATGAGTCGCTGCCACGCATTGGTGAGGATATCTCTGTCAGGACACCGACTGCAGGCACTCGATTTCAGCTAAAGAGCTCCTCTCCATCTGTTTCAGGTTAGTGGACATCATTCAGTAAACTGTCCCGTCGGGAAATATGTCGCTACATCACACAGTGGAGTCTCTCTGATTGGTTGACGCGACGCGTCGAGCTGCAAAAGTTCAGATTTTCTAACTTCAGTGATTTGCGCCTCAGCGCGTCGAACGCTCAGATCGTTCAAATCGTTCAAATCGCGCTGCTCTAACCGCGCTTGAGGCGCCGCAGCACTTCCTGACGCTGATTGAAGCGCGTCCACCATAGACTTTGTATGTAAACCTGKTGCTCCTGACGCTGAAATCACGTTTGGTGTGAACGCACCATTAGTCATTAGCCGAAACCTTTCCTGTTCGCCATGCCCGTGTGCACTGGAAGGTATGTTTTTTATTAGCTTTGTTGTTGACATTGTTACATGTATATTTGGTAGTTTTGATTACTTTTGTATTTCAGCCATTTTTTTGAGCAATCCATAATCAAAATAAGTCTGCATCCTTAGGTCAAATCCTGACAACTTTATCTGTTTTGGTTTATCGTTAGTTTTTACCATTGTTGTGCTGCAGGAAAGCTGCAAATCTCTGTCAGAGTAACCACTGGTCTCTTGGATGTACCTCTGATTCATGCCTGTTTTACCAGTGTCGTGAGTTTTGCTGGATGATCTTTTCTTCTAAGGAGTTTTTTTTTAACTGGTGTTGATTCTTGGGGCTATTAGAACAGGTCTCTATACTGAGTTCATGTTGATGGTTCGATTGARCACAGCTAGAACCTTTTTGCCTATGTTACTTCTGAAAATAATGGTTGTCTTTACAAAAGAGTGGGGTGAATACATATGCATACACCTTTCAGTTTTACCTTTGTTTCAAATTATTGTAAATATTTTGACCTCAATTACTGTCATATAATAATCCAAAGTAGTTTTGATTAATTTCCAATATGTAGGAGGATAGAATAAAATTAATGCCGAGGAGAATGAATACTTTAGCAAAACACTAGAAAAACAAATACCTAAACGTCTGAACAAAATTTGAAAAAAGGCTGGGCAAAGGGGGTGTTCACATAGGAATGAACAATGTATCACACATCTAATGAAGTCAGCTTTCCCTATACATCATACATACATTGTTCAAAAACAGGAGAGGATACATACAGGCCTTTTGGGATACATTCAAGGGTGACACTTTGACCTCTTAGAGTCTGCACCAACGTGTGAGAGCCAGTGGGACGAAGAAGGTGTGGCCTTCTAGCATGATGGATATCATTAGCTGAGGAGAAAAAGAAAACAAATGCTTGTTTTTACAGGTGGTTAAATCTCTTTCTTAACATAATTGTTAATTTTAGGGAATATTGTTCATTTAGACAAGATTTTGTGACAGTTTGTGTTTTTCCTCTGCCTCCTGATTCATCATGCCAATAACTTCCAACTCACCACCAAAGAAACTGGCTGGGACAATCTCAAATTCAAAGGTACTTTCATTAATTCTCTACCCATAACAAACCACACTCTCTGAATGATCTAATTGGATTGGCCATTCGCATCGATAATTGCCTTTGTGAGCGTCGTTGAGAAAGAAACTATGACTTCCAGCACCCCAGAACTTCTGCATTCCCGATATCATCCGGAGCACCGTCTATGGAACCACACTCACCCAAGCCCGAGCCAGAACAGATGCAGGTGGGGTGGGCTCAGTTAAAGTGTTTGTATTGTGGAGGAAAGATGTACCGTTTGGGGAAAAGCCCTGACCCACCAGTAAAACGGGATTCTGGTGAGTTGCTCTTCATTTTCCCCTGATTCCCAAATTACTCTCCATTCCACCACTGTTATCTATTAAGTCAAGTTACCCATACATGCTTTGGTAGACTCCGGGGCTGAACAAAACCTAATTTCCACTGATCTGGTCAAACAGCTTCACATTCCCACACAAACTCTCGACCCTCCATTACCAGTTGTTCGAACCACTGGCCAAAACATCTCCAGCACCACTCACAAGGTCCGCAGCTTACACGTCATCGTTTCCTGAAACCACGGGGTTCCGATGAGTTTTTTTGTTTTCTCTTCTCCTACTTCCCAGTTAGTTTTAGGTTGGAGTGATTTTTGTTTAAAGAACTATCTGAAGTTCACAGTCCCTGTCTCTGGAAAAAAGAGATGCCCCTCCTGAGAATATTGACTTTTCCAAAGTACCCCAAGAGTATCATGACCTAAGCCCGGTGTAGCCCAGATCATTTAAATGTCTTAAAGATTTCCAGAGACTGGAATGGATGTGGACCTACAACTGAATAACATTTAAAATKATCCCCATTCAAGATGGCTTACATAATTAATGAGTCTTTTTTATGATATGTCCTGAAATAAGCTTCCACAGTTTGCAGTCAGGGAAACATTTTGTGTGTGCACTTACTAGGTAGGACGGTAAGCCGTACAACAGTATCAGGAAGGATGGTCCTTGCTGCTGTGTAATGAGCAGTGCAAACATATTCATTTTTGCTGTCTGCCTTTAGAAGATTTGAAAAGTACAAGTTTCCATCCAGGCCAATCATTACTCTGTCGCTCTGCTCAATGTGCACCATACCTGGAAAAAAAAAGACACAGAGCTAAAATATAACAGTGTAATATAGTTTGGACAAAAACATGATTGAGTTTTTTTGCATAATACGTTTGTAAAATACATTCCAGTACAAACAGAACATTTTTGTGTGTTACAATCCAAACCTGTAAATTAACTTTTAACAAAATGACAACACCRTTTTCATTAACACTTTGTAAACTAAATGCTGCATGTCTTTGCTGAAATTTGATAAAAATGCTAAAACCGATTTGTGAAAGATAAAACAAACACTAGATAAAACCTAAAAGTAACAAATGGCTAGCTAAAAGCAAAACGCTAGCTAAAGGTAGCAAACTGCTAGCTAATAACTAAAACTAGTATTAGAGACAAAATAAAGCAAATATCTGTCATTGTTTGCATAGAAATTAGAACCAGAAATGCAGACCCACATGGTGAGCTCAAATACTGCATTACTTTTGTTATTATTTAATTACAAAAGTACTACAAAACAAAAGGCTGAAGTGCTGGCAAAAAATACAAACTAACAAAATTCGACCGTGTCCCTCAGAGACTCCTGTGGGGGGTACTCCGGGAGTATGGGGTACCAGGCCCATTGATACGGGCTGTTAGGTCCCTGTAGGACCAGTGCCAGAGCTTGGTCTCCATTGCCTGTAGTAAGTCGGACTTGTTTCTGGTGAGAGTTGGACTCCACCAAGGTTGTCCTTTGTCACCGATTCTGTTCATAACTTTTATGGACAGGATTTCTAGAAGCAGCCAAGGTGTTAAGGGGATCCTTTTTGGTGACCCTAGGATCACACCTCTTCTTTTTGCGGATGATGTGGTCCTATTGGCTTCATCAGATCCTGATCTCCAGCTCTCACTGGAGCGGTTCACAGCCGAGTGAGAAGCAACCGGGATGAGGATCAGTGCCTCCAAATCTGAGACCATGGTCTTGAGTCGGAAACCAGTAGGGTGCCTTCTCCAGGTTGGGGAGGAGGTCCTGCCCCAAGTGGAGGAGTTTAAGTATCTCGGGGTCTTGTTCATGAATGAAGGAAGAACGGAGCAGGAGATTGACAGGTGGATTGGTTCTGCATCTGCAGTGATGCGGGCGCTGTACTGGTCTGTCGTGGTGAAGCTAGAGCTGAGCCAGAAGGCAAAGCTCTCGGTTTACTGGTCGGTCTACGTTCCTACCCTCATCTATGGTCACGAACTTTGGGTAGTGACTGAAYGAACGAGATCACCGATACAAGCGGCTGAAATAAGTTTCCTTCGCAGGGTGTCTGGGCTCTCCCTTAGAGATWGGGTGAGAAGCTCGGTCATCCAGGAGGGACTCAGAGTAGAGCCGCTGCTCCTCTACATCGAGAGGAGCCAGTTGATGTGGCTCGGGCATCTGGTTAGGATGCCTCCTGGATGCCTCCCTGGTGAGGTGTTCCGGGCATGTCCCACTGGGAGGAGGTCCAGAGGAAGACCCAGGACACACTGGAGGGACTATGTTTCTCAGCTGGTCTGGGAACACCTTGGGATTCCCCCAGACGAGCAGGTCCAAGTGGCTGGAGAGATGGAAGTCTGGGTCTCTCTGCTTAGGCTGCTGCCCCCGAGACCCAACCCCGGATAAGCGGCCGAAAACGGACGGACGGACTAATAGTGTTATATACTACTGAGATTAATTACTTTGATTGAGAATAAATAATAAATAAATCAGAAAATATCAATTATGAACATTTTAAAGATGTCTACATTGAACATAGAGTTGAAAATAATCAACAGGAAGCTTCTTTGTGGCATGTACATAATGTAATTCTAACAAACTGATCAAATGATGTAACTTTTATTAGCAATTTAGACATAAAAAATGTTTCATAAGTTGGCATAAGTTGTCTAGTGTGACAGGGCCTTAAGTCTGAAGGAAACGGAAGTCTGAGCCTTTTGCGGAGACCAGACCTGAAAGGTTCAATGCAATTGGCCCAGTGCTGTAAAAAGATACTTCACATGTGCAAAATAGATGTTTTTCACTGTGTTTGAGCAGCTTCCTGCATTTAATTCTGGTTTTCAGTTTAAACWTTCSTACAAAACACTCTTTGAAATCTGAAACACAATGAAAACTCTCAATGTGTACATTCCCTTCTATTATCTATACCTGCTTCTTCSTTTCAGGGTCCCCAGCGTCATACATTACTTCCATAAAAAGACAACTTGTTGGTATACCTGATTATTCTCAACTACTGTATTCTTAACTATTAACTACAATATATCTTAATCATATTCTTAAATAAAGCAGTGGAAAATCAGGTATCCCATTAGATATAAACTTTATCAGTATAGCTTAATTGCATTAGGTGCTAAACTTCAAAAGTATGAACACAGGGAAATTAAATTTCAGCTTTACACCTGTGATCTAAAAACCACTTCCAAAGATAAAGTTAAATATGACAATAGAAAAGTTTTTTTTCTGTTTTCAAATAAAAATTTCAAAATAAACAGTTTAGAGCTGTAACCATACTGTGATACAGTGAAACTGTGTTATTTTGCCTACATTTATCATACTGTCAGAACGTCAGACCTTCCCATGCCTGATTCTTATAAAATAATAAAACCAAACTGAAAGCCTGACTCACTCATGTTCATCCAGTAGATTTTTAGAGGAGTCGAACTCTGTGGTGGATTGCAGGTCAGGATGATGCTCTCTCCCTCATATGCTGTCTGATGGAGTTTGTTCTGTTTTACCAGATAGGGCTGAGCTGAAACACAAAGCAGCAAACACAAACAGCCTTTTAACGTCCTTCACATGAAACTGAGATGAACACGATTGATTTGAGATCAATTCATGTTGACATGTAAAGGGAAAAAAACATTACATCTGTGGTGTTAAATAAACTTGGCTTGTTTTCTCAAATTTATGCTTTTTTCACAGCAAAATCCCATGTGRCAACATACTGTAACTGGTGTGAGCTGCACGCTGGCACAGTTGGTGAGGACAGTTTTTCACCAAGATCCTTTATTTTAGGATTCAGCTGGAATGTTTTCTATGGGCGCGAATTTGGCCCATATATATTTTGAACTTGTAAATCAGACTGGGGCGGCTGTGGATGAGTGYTTAGAGTAGTCGCTCTTCTMATGCGAGAGTTGGCGGTTCGATTCCCCACTATTCAGTCACATGTTGAAGTGTCCCTGGGCAAGACACTGAACCCCCACTGCCTCTGATGTGTCCCAGTAAAGCACTGATTAGTCTCCACAGATGATTGTACATGGTAGCTTTGTAGAGATCTAACAGAGGGCTGTGTGAATGGGTAAATGAGGACACAGATTGTTGTATGAAGCACTTTGAGTGTCCTGGTTGGATAGAAAGGTGCTGTACAAGTACAGTCCATTTACCATCTCTGTGGCTTTATACTTAGAGGATTCCAACCCTTTCTTGTTTATTTCTCTTTTTTATGTTTTTATCTGTTTTCCCAACCTACAGTCCACTCAAAGGTTTTGGAACAGCAAGTCAATTTTCTACWAAATGTTGCTTTWTTATTATTATTATTTGTGGCAGTGAAGTAATCAGATAGCACTGTCTAAAGTTTTATTAGGGAATAAACTGAAAACTGTAAATCAGCAGAAACAAAAACACACTTTGCCTTCCTTTTTCTGTTACAGCTTCAATAGTTTCAGAGTTTATCAGAACTCTACTGCAGGCCAGGCCAACCAGTCAATCGCGATCGACCGATCGCTCTTTAGCTGGTTAGCAGTCGGATTACAGAGCAATGGATCACGGATCTTGTAGAACACAACATTGTTTAACATTGCAGCCTTAAACGCACTCTTGTATAATGCAACTTTTGTTTGTTTAACATTGCAGCCTTGAATGCACTCTTTGCAACGTTTGTTTAACACTGCATTCTTGAACGCGCTCCAGTCTCACGAGTTTTGGGTGCTATGAAACAGCACTCCGAAAATGATCTTGCGAGACTTTAGGGTCACGTGTTCACAACATAGCAGAGAGGTGGGGAAAAAATGAACGAAAAATGAGCTAACAAGCAAATAAAAACTTATTATTTTCACCTGGAGTGGGAAGAGGACTCATATGTAATTCGAGCGCTGCCTTGGCTTG